TCGTCGTCCGCCTGTACACTATCATCCCCCGTTCCGCCCCCTGACGACTATGTTCCTAGCCCCGGTCCTCTCCCTCAATATCTCCCCTTTCGTCTATATGACCGGACCCTGAGTCCGACCCTGACCGTTTCCCTTTTCGGTTACATTACTTTACCCTGACCCAGACCCCGACCCTTGTCGCGCCCCTTTCCCTTTTCGGTTATATTGCCCGACCCTGACCTAGACTCAGGACCCTGTCCCGTCTCTATCCCTTTTCGGTTATATCACAGGACCCTGGCCTAGGTCTTGTACTATACTGGGCCCAGCCTCGACCAGACGCGTTCCTTTACAGTCTCCTCATACCTCCCCACTTTGGTCGGTTACCTTTCCCTTCCTAATACGGTCGGTACCCCATAGTATATAAGGAGGCCTGTAGTCGGTAGAGGCTCCCCACTTCTGTTCTCCTCTTCGTTACCTCCTGTATCCCTATATCCCTCAATCTAGGAACTTGTGCGATACTCTCTCCCCGTGTGCTACGCCGCGTACTTGGATAAGTCCGCGTGATAAGTCTGGATAGACTTGTGTTAGTACTTCAGCGTAACAAATCCACGTTATGTATTTTTTCGTCATTCAAAACTTCCTCAATCCGATAGGGCTCACAATGCCTGTCTGGTCCGTGCATGTCTCATCTTCAATTGCCTTGTTATTGAGATTAGGGCCATGTTTTACAGGTCGCTTGGGGTGAGTACTACCCATCGAATGTGACCACATGTCGCTCCTTCTCATCTATTTCGGTTGAAAAGGCGGGTGTTCTGATGAATGTAAGTCTATCAGGCCAGTCATTGCTTGTGAGAACTCAGAACTCATGTTACGAGATAGGCCTGCATCTCATTGATTGTGAAATCGTGAGTGACTTCTCTCATACTGCATAATCAGCACGAGTTACCATTTTACCATAGGTTCTTCCTGATGAGGATTTGGAAACGTCAGTTCCTCTCTCTTCACCTATTGAGTTACTTGTAAGCTATTGAACATGTAGTGAGCGGCAACCTCTGCATAACGGTAATATGCGTACGTAGACGGGGCACATCTTCAAAGCGCTATGCTGAGTACACCGCAGGGCGTCTTAAGCACCACCAGAGTTGGTAAGGCACTTCACGACTAGGTATGATGAGTACTCAACTCTAATCGTCCAAACATAGCTGTCAATGTTGGTACGGATACCATGTTAGCTGCAACTTATGCTTGTCTGTTGATTCCTCTTTTTTCAAGGCTATTGCATCGATTAGTACATAGATACATCTTGTACATACTGACAAGATGGCTAACATCCTCAAATAGCTTCACTCGCTACTTGAGTACGACGGTTCAGCTAGCGGAGCTCGGATTGAAGGTAAGCCCTGTCTACCTGCAGGCTGCATTCTTACAACTCATCATCTCATCTCATAGAATATAGGCTATGCAAGTCTTGCCTTGGAGGTAGCGACAGATGTCATGATCTCGGCTGCATTGATATACTCTATGTGGAGGGGCCGTAGTGGCCTCCGTCAGTGAGCATATTCTACTGCAACATGCCTGGAGTCAGTGCTTAGCTTACGCTTAACCAGATCGGACGACATGATTGCTCGCTTGATTCTGGTTACCATCGCCACGGGAGGTCTTACAACGTATGTGATTCGCTGACGTCTCTCCCATCTTACTTCATCTCACCGTCTGCCCAACCTTCGTTTCCTGTAATCAGTCTCATCGCAATTGCGGACCTTGCTTCAGTAATTACATCAATAGGTCACATCATTTCATGGCTACTCACATGGAAAAACGCAGTACATAGTTGCGCCAACGACCCTCTACGTCTTACTGTTCAACATGATGTTGGGAAAGGGTGAGCCTGTATGATGCCGCAATGAATCAACATGATCTCATCGTACACTTGTACTATAGCTGATGTCAATTCCATTCTTACCTCGTCGGTATTGAGCACTTCATACCCTCTTTCTAGCTCTCATTGCTTGTTCACCCAGGCTGAACTCGCGAGCGTTTGTGCGAGACGGTTCAACAGCCAGTCACATCCATGATAGCAGAACAATACCACTTCGGGCATTGACGGCTCAACCTTCAGACGAGCGAAGCATCTCTGGCGACAGAACCGCCCATAATGGCATCATCGTAAGTCCCTGCCCCTTTGCTGAACAGCTTGTTATTCACTAATTTCCCAGTGTAAGGTCGACGTCAACAAGCGTTACATAGTATAACTTGTGGAACCTTACAACTGGTCGTGGTACACTGTCAAATGGCCATGCTTAGTGCTTGTTACAGTCCTCGACACACGATCCCAGGTTCTGATAGTGCTTAGTGTCAGTTGAGCGGCAATAGAAGCCAGTGTGCACAAGTTTGTGGGAAGTCCCGTCTGTTCAAAATCGATGCCATCTGGCAAAAGTGTCTGCATGCTTCACACCGATTGCATATCCTGTGGTCATGCATCCATGATCTATCAATCGCGCCGCGCTGTTGAACACGCGTGCGTCGACCCTATGTCGCATTACTTGGACAGACAATAGCTATCAGACACACCTAGGTTCGATCAGAATAACACGACATAGCGCCATTCAGACAGCGCCGAAGATGGACTTGTGGATATGCAAGAACTACTGGAAATCTTCCTCCGGACACAATCGGCGCTCAAGTGATGCGATTTAGCGAAGACCACAATTGCATGCGAATCATATCGCCCTGTTCCGTGGCTATGCGGTGATATATGTCGGGGTCATACCTGCCGGTCTACCGGAGAGGCATGCTGTCTAGAGAGACATATCTCTAGCACGCGGATGTGATGGGCTTGCCGTCACCTTCTGATAGCAGCAGTCAGAAACCCGAAGGTTCGTGAGAAATGGTGTGCTGGGCCCTACTGTGACAACATGTGAACTAAAATCCTGATTCTAGACAACTTCGGCAACTTTTTGCCATAAAGCGAGTACTTAAGCCGTCGCCCGAAGAACTGCGCTTCAGTCACCCATCCTCACTACCTTTGCCTTCAGGGCAGTCATACACCACGATGAACCTCCTTTATCTCGCCAAAGTACCTGCCTTTGTCATGATGATCATAGCAGAGAACACTTCGTTCCGACCACCCAAGAACCCCTTCCCGCAACCTCAGGATCTGCAAAAGTTCGGCGCTGCAGACTTAATTACGAGTCTAGCTGGGTGGTTTCCCATCATTGGAGTGGTACGTCTTTGTCACTGCAGTGCTTTGTACAACTACTCAGCTCTTACCTCTAGGGTATTGATTGCTCGTTCCACCTCTGCGAGGTCGTCGCGGTGCTCGCCCGAGAGTATCCCTCGCCACTCTCTGACCGCGTCCTCGCGGCCCTCTTCAAGAATACATCCCGCGTTGACAACCTTGCCATATCCCCGGCATTCGTTGTCGCTTTCCTACTATTAGTGCTGGGGGCAGCGTGGCGAAAGATCTGCTACGACACCTTGGGAAGATTCTTCACGTTTCAACTCGCGGTACTCAAGGAACACAAGCTCGTAACGACTGGCCCGTACTCTGTCGTTCGCCACCCCGCGTATACCGCATTCGTCATGACCGACGTTGGGTGTCTCATGGCTTTGTTGCTTCCTGGCTCCTACATTTACGAGAGCGGAATGCTGGAGAAGCCATGGGTTGTGGTGGGCTTAGTCTTCTGGGCAGTGGTGCATGTCGCCATCGCTCTGACTGCAGTGAAGCGGATCCCCGTAGAGGACGAGGTGCTGCATAAGGAATTTGGGTCTCAATGGGAGGAATGGGCGAGGAAGACCCCGTATAAATTAATTCCATACGTATATTGAGCTACGAATGTCTTCCACAGACCAGTGATGTACCTACAATCCCTTTTTCAAAAGCGTTCGTTCTGGTCAGGAGGGATTGCATGTGAGAACAATTGCCGATGATGCTGCTCACCTCAGTACAATGACTAATATAGGAATGTAGCCCAATCAGTGTGTACTACACGTTACCGGGGCCAGCTCAAACCGTAAACTCGTGCTGCAGCGCTATTTCCCTCTCCTTAATGCCCGGATCGGCGGTAACCCAATGCGGCGTAATCTCCGCAACACATTGAATGCACTCATGAGAGCCTATCAAGGAAAAATATGTTCAAGATTCTGCAGGATAGGGCGGCGTACTGGGGATACCCGGGTCGTGGTCGTGTCAGTATCTGGCGCACGTTCGGCAGTGCTCACAAAGCATACAGTGAGAGCGCGCCCTCGCGATGTCACTTGGAAGTAACAATCAGCGCCCTTCCCGCCAAATGCATCTACTAATTGATACGGCTAGGTCCACGGGTTCGACTAGGGAAGGCGTCGCCGTTTCGGACTACTTCGTGAAACGAAATTGCCGTCTCCATGCACCTAGAATCAACTAGACAAGATATATGAGATTTGGAGGCCTCATTCGAGAGTCGTCCCTCAATACCTCTTCCATAAGATCACCCTGCACTCTAACTGAGAGCCGCCGCCTTGCATCTAATGCATGGTCCAGTCGCGCGCCCTGCATGCTGTTCCCTTCACCGCCATCGCCATAACCGCGCCTGTTTGAACCTGTGGGTGTAATCGAAGAGAAGTTCTGTGGATGTTGGGCGCAAATGATGCTGCGGAGAGCGGATCATGCTCACGTAACAGTTGAGTGAATATTGTACCAGAGACCGTGCTGTATCTGTGCTCGGGTAAAGACTGTGAGCGCTGCGAAGATATTCATAACGCCCAATACGTATCGGATTGCTTCTTCGTCTCAGAAGGCAGGATGACCGCGACTGAGATTCCGCAATAAAGCCCGGAATGGGAACAAATTGAGAGAGGGAATACGTCCGAGCGGCCTCAGACGACTTCATCCATGGAATACATTTGACGTGTGAACGAGCGCCTGGGACATCAGATAGCGATCAGATTGCCGTCGGATTGTAGTCCGACTAGCCTTCGGTCTTTGTTATTTTGAACGTCGCCCCGGGGCAGCGGGGCCCCAAAGAACGAGAACGAAGCATGGTTCAAATTAATCCCATACGATGGTCCCATACCATCGCAGGGTCACGGCAGTACAGCCTCGGTATCAATGCCCCTTCTTCTCGTCCATCACCGTCTTCACGGGGCCCACGAAGTGAAAGCGCCCCCACAACGCCCAACATGCGCCGACCAGGATAATAACGGCACCGATGGCGACGATGGAATAGTTCATGTTCAGCGCGGTAGTAGGATGGGCGGTCGGCAGGATGAACAAGACGCAGATGAACACGGTGAACTGCCACAGGGAGAGGTTTGCGTGAGTAACGCATCTAGCCAAGTGGACTAGACGTGATGGTGACGATGCTCACCAGAAAGCTCGCGAAATTGATAGACCAGGACCACCGGCCCAAGGAGAACGGGCCGCGTTCTGGAAGTCTGGTACGTCGCAGAGTCAGAACAGGACGCGGAAGGATATCCACGGCCCTCTACGGGCACTCACGATGTCGTCGGCCAAAAGACGCGAATGATGATGGGCTGCAGGTAGCTCAGCATGACAGCGATAGCTGCCGAGGACAGAATCGCGTTGAACTGCATACCCACATATTGTCAGCGTTCTCCGCTCTTCGACCTCAGCCAGACCCGCCTACTCACCGCGACAGCGGATCCAATATATGCGCACGAGATGATACATCCGACGAGCACCGACGTCCACACGCCCACATACGGTGCCTGAAAGCGATTCAGCGCCATATACCGCCCCTTGAGTGGGAACGCCTCGTCCCTTGCCAGCGCATAGAACAACCTCGAGCTCGCCGTGAACGCAGTCACGGCCGCCATGAACTGCGCGAGCGCGACGACGGTCAGGCACATCAGCGTCAGCCGCTTCCCGACCGCGTCGTAGTACAGCTGCGCGATCGGGATCGCGAACGACGTCGCCTGGACGGACGCGATGGACTGCACGGAGAAGAGGAGGGCGAGCATGTACGCGAGGCCGATGAGCCAGGAGCCGGCGATGGAGCCGACGACGGCGAGCGGGGCGAGGATCTCGGCGCTCTTAGCCTCTTCGGCGACTTGGGCGGCGGTCTCGCAGCCTTCGAGGGTGTAGACGGCCTAGGTAAGATGGTGTGTGAGATGGTGTGAGGGGCAGAGGGAGGAGGACTGACCTGGAGGAAGCCTAGGAGGACGACGAATCCGCGGTTTGACCAGCCCGTGAAGCTGCGGCGAAGTGAGTAGAGTGGTCTCGTGCGGCAGCTCGCTGCTCGGACACGTACTTCTCGTAATCGGTGAATACGAATGCAGCACTGTTCTGCGCTCGGTGTGAGAGATGAGGACTTAAGAGCGCGCCTCGCTCGGCGAATAGGTGCGTACCTTTACTGGTGCTTTGACGAGCAAAGTAATGACGAGGACGAACGTCCCGCCGAGTGTCCACCACAGATTGAAAGAGCTCATATGCCCGATCGCTTTAGTTCCGATGGTGTTGATGACACCAGAGAGGATGTTCACTCCCCAGGCGATCGCTGCAACTTCCACCCTCGTCAAAGTCCGACCCTGGCCAACCTCTGCGAGCGACGCCAGGTAGAGAGCGACGCTGAGATTCCCAGACGTTCCTGTGAAGACCATAGCGATGCTGTAGATCCATCCGGTCTATGAAACGACTTAGATGTGGGCATGTAAGAGGCATATCATAAAGGAGCATACACAGACTTGTTCGCTTTAGCTCGATTGCTCCAAGTCGCAAGGAAGAATATGGACTCACATCCGAGCATCGGCATATCAGGCTTCATTTTGCATACCCAGAAATACAGACCGCCCATGGTGGGACTATGTACACCGTCATATCGGAAGTGAGGGGAGTAGACAGCACGATACGACTCACTATGCGCTGCAAATCTCGGCCAAGGAAAGCGCTATGAACAGCATGAAGAGACTACATATCTGTAGCTCGACCAGGTCACCCACAAAGTCAGATAGGACAAGATAGCCAACGCACGTTCCAACCCCAGAACAAGCCAAGAGGCCCTCCAGAAAAAAGTCCTGTCTGGAACGCACTACTCATGCCGGTCAGGATGCCGATTGCACAGAATGAGATGCCCAGAACGCCGAAGAGAGACATGTCACGTCGGAACTCGCTCTTGTAGCCCAGCTCGCGTAGCCGCTGGTCCGACTTGGACGCAGCAGTGTCGGCGGCGGTATCCTGAAGGGAGCCAGGATCCCTGTCGACGCTCTCAATGTCGCCAAAGACTACCTTCTCCATGGTGGCAGGATCGAGACGGAGGGAGGAGAGAGCGGCGTCGACGACGTACTCACGGTTTTATCTCGCCGGCTGGAAGATAGGGAAAGCGAGGGCCACATGATAGACGAGCATCAGAGGAGTTATTCAAGCGGATCCATAAGCTAGCCTAAGCAGCAATTGGCCTTCTGGTCATGCATTTAGACGAGCAGATAGAGAGCTGAAGATCCGCGGCGTTTGAGTCGTAGAGAGCAAAAGCATTGGGGAGGGAACAAGTCGTGGACCGAGAGCAAGTCGCAGACGCCCGACAGACACTTGCGGCAGCGCGCGGGCCGGTCGCCCAGTGAACAGGCGCCCATTGTCGTACACCACGACCGTGACCGCCTGATTCGATTGGGACGCGACATTGCGGCGACAAGGCCATATCTTCGTCTCGCTGCTGCATCCAACTCACTGGTATACCCTCCGTCCACATTAGCTCGTCCTTGCCACTGCTATCGATAGACTGCAAGAATAAAAACCCTCCACCCCGCTACTCCTGCGTTTCACTGTTCGAATCCACGACGAATGTCCCTCTCTCGTACAGCCTCCGAGGCTTCTTTCATCCTGGTCAATTCCGAGAGCCCTCAAGAACGTTCCAAGCCTCAGGAGTCCTTTGCGCATGACTGGTCCTCCGCCGGTACTGGAGGAAAAATCTACCTCCACGGTCGACACTTTGTCGATGCCTACGGACGAGTGTGCAATCTGCGTGGCGTAAACTTGTCGGGCAATTGCAAGACGTGCGTACACGCATACGTCTTCTTTTGTCTCGGTGGCTGATCTGCACCAAGCCCAGTAAACCATGACCATCATAGTTTCCCGGCGAATCACGCCGATGTCACCTTTGTCGGACGACCCTTCCCCCTAGAGGACGCTCCCGACCATTTCGCCAGACTTAGACGATGGGGTCTGACCTTCGGTGAGTGCGCTAATCTGAGAGCCCTTTCTGCATCTAACGATGTGGATTGTAGTTAGATTTTTGATTACATGGGAGGCAGTTGAACACACTGGCCCGTAAGTACAGTCAATGCATTCCCCACCCGTGAATCCCCAACGAGCCTGCTGTATATGATGCGTCCTGCGCTTCACTGAGTCTCGCGTGCGCATGCACGGTTGATGAACGCGGGGGTGAGCTGTCGAGTCTCCATTCGTGCACGCACGTCCATACACGAGACATGCAAACCCCTTCTTGCACAGCGCTCACCCTCCGTCCACAGTGGAATCTACGACATGGAGTACCTCGAGTATGTCCGCAAGCTCCTCTCCCTCATGCCTCAATACGGCCTCGTTGCCTTCGTCGCCCTACACCAAGACGTCTGGTCACGGTACACCGGGGGCTCAGGTGCGCCCGCCTGGACGCTCGAGGCCGTCGGCTTCGACATCCACGGCCTCGAGGAGCCTGGCGCCGCCTGGCTGAAGGGTGTGCGCGGGGGAGGACATACCGAGGACGAACGAGGGTTGTGGCCATGCGGGTACCAGAAACTCGCCGCTGCTACCATGGCGTGAGTTCTGGTTCTTTGTCCATGGGGGTGTGTGATGTGCGCTGAGCGACGCGACGTACGTGCAGGACGTGTTTCTGGGGAGGGGACATGTTTGCTCCCAAGCTGAAGGTGAAGGGACCGGACGGGAAGGAAGTGTCCATCCAGCAGCTCTTGCAGGGCTCGTTCCTGAACATGTGGGAGTTAGTCGCCAAGACCCTCGGCGACTTGGAAGCGGTCATTGGGTTCGAGGTAAGGAGCATCCGCTTGGGGCAGTCGAGGTATATTGACGAGTCGCGTATGGAATTGCAGATAATGAACGAGCCGCATAGAGGGTATATCGAGCTCCAGTCGATGCACGCCTTTGACTACAACACCGACCTCCATCTTGGGCACGTCCGTAAGGCCCATACCTCTCGTGAACCTGTTCTAAACGGAGCCTAACGCACGCATATAGCCACTGCCTTCCAGTCGTTCATGCTGGGTTCAGGCCACCCGACGACTGTAGGGGTCTGGACCCGCTCGTTCCCGATGCCGACACGCCTGACCTCTCAAGCCGTGCTCAACACGGCCGGCCAGAAGGCCTGGCTGGACAACGGCCCGACGCAGGGCAAGTGTCTGTGGGAGCTACATGGAGTCTGGGGCTGGGACCAGAAGAAGAACGAGGGTGTCGTCCTGCGCGAGAACTACTTCAAAAGAGACCCGGAAACCGGCAGGGAGGTAAGGGCTTCCGTGTACGTTCTCTGGACGCGGGTATCCGCTAACGGTTCCGGCCAACTGGCATTGCTTTAGATCGATTGGTACTCCGACTTCTATTTCCCGTTCCTAAACAAGTGGGCGGAGAGAGTACGAAGCGCGTCCAGTGCGGACAAGGTCGTGCTTTGCGAAGCGATACCAAACGAGGTGCGTACTCGTCATACATGACGTCTACAATACCCAAGCTCACGACGTCCGACATGCAGTTCTGCCCGAAGTCGTGGACGGCGGAACGCCGCCCTATGAACATGGTGTATGCGCCGCACTGGTGAGTGTTGTGCTTTACGTCCAGGGCGCCCTATTGGCTGCTTAACTATCCGGCGTTCTCAGGTATGACCTGAACACGCTCTTCATGAAGGCGTTTGGCAACTTCTCTGTCAACGTCCAGGGCCTGTCGAGGGTGCGTTCGGATACGTCTCGGCCGACGACGTCGTGCGTTTGCTGACGAGATTACTGGACTTGTAGGGCATGTTCCCACTGAAAGCGTTCTATTGGGGCCAGAAGGGCGCGCGTGACAACTTTGCGCTGCAGATTCGGAACATCGTGGAAGCTGGGTACGAATCTCTCGGGGAGACGCCAGTCATCATCGGGGAGTGCGGCATCCCCATGGACATGAAGTGAGTGTGCGGGCTCTGCCGTGTGTTTCCTTGATCCGCCTAGTGGTTCTCGCGTCGTAGCTAATGCGGCGGACGGTGGTTGGCGGTGACTACAGCAAGGGCGAAGCGTTCGAAACGGACCGCTGGCATTGGCAGATGAAGATGATGGACGCGATGGTCGCGGCTCTGGAGCGTGCTCTCGTAGGCTTCACGTAAGTGCCCTTCTTCGACCTCCCTTCCTCTGCCATCACCCTCGCCGCCTTCCACTTCCATTCATCCACTCCTCCACCTTTCCGCGGACCGCTCATGCTCATGCCTCTCTCTTACGGCGATCTATGTATGTAGGCTGTGGAACTACAACCCGGACAACGACGACCGCACCGGCGACGAATGGAACGGGGAGAACTTCTCGTGGTTTAGCCAGAAGCGCGCGCTGCCGTCCACATGGCTCGACCACAACCAGTCATCGCCCACGCTCGACAACGGAGGCCGTATCCTGCGCGCTGTCGTGCGCCCGTACCCCGCTAAGACCGCGGGCGTCCCTCTCCGGTTCGAGTACGAGATCAACACATACGAGTTCACGTTCGAGTGGGCGATCCCTGGCTCGGCCGAGTCTGTGTCGACAGTGACAGGGAAGGGCGGCCCAAGCGTGCGGACGCCCCCGCTGAACGATATGCCGCCCCTCACATCGAACAAGACAGAGATCTTCTACCCATCGCTGATCGCGCATGGGCGGAACGTCGTCGTACGGGGCTTGGGGAAGGAGGACCGCTGGGCGTACGACGAAAGCAGGCAAACGCTTACGATCGTCACCGCGGACAACGCCCCAGGGACGGTGTACCGCGTGACGGTGGGCGTGGACCCGCTGCCGAAGGAGGCGTTCGAGGTGAACGACTTCTGGGGGGACTTCAGCGGGCAGATACTGGCGTGGTCTCTCGTGATCGTCACGTTGGTCGTGCTGCTGCTCTCGTGGCTACTTGGGTAGAGTTTGGGAATGCATATGTGGCGTGCGGCTGGTCTGGCATCTCCGTGCTGGGAAGGGGGATCTATGTAGCCGTTGCTCACTATCTAGTCTCAATCGTTAATGTGGACATCCGGGAATCTACTTGCTGCTGGTAGTTGCGCATGATCCAGCTTCTGTGACGAGGATTACGGTACGTATCTCCGGGCATCCGTCCGTAGTAGAAACGGGGTTCGTCCAGGGCCAGGGTCGTCGACGGCTATTATGGTACGTTTCACACATCCAACCCCCGCCCCTTCACAAGTCATGTCATGAGCTCACCGTCCATTCGCAGACAGTCGGCTACTGGGCGTGGAATCGTGGAGGGGCTGTTGCCGAGCCACCTCTTGTCCGCACCATATAGCGGCGGCTAGCAAGCTCCATGTGAGTCTACAACTGCACCCGGTGTCCGAGAGATGCTCGGACAATTGAAAGCTTTATGAGAACGATGAAAAGGCCCGTGGTTCCCTGTCGACCAGGCTCAAGTGTGCCTACTACCCCGCAAAGACTTCGTCCTACACCCAGTGTTCGTCATGCCCGGAGCCACGCTTCCCGCTGTACCTCACTACCAGCGGCCTCCCACTACCAAGGAAGACTGTAAGTATCCCGGACGCTGTGGCTATCTTAGCTCCTGACGGATGCTTTGTAGTGGTTTGGGCCGATCTGCCAATCATCGACTTCTCCAAGGTGGGGACTCCCGAGGGGCGAGCGGAACTCGTGCCTCAAGTCCGCGATGCGATGCGGACTCATGGCTTCCTCATCGTCATCAACCACGGCTGGACGCAGGCTCAGGTGCGATATCTCGCGGCATGCCAGTGTGCGAGGTTGTTGATTTGCAGACGCCGACTTCCCGTATAGAACAATCGCATCTTCGATGTGGCCGACGTGCCCTTCACGCAAGTGTCCGAAGATGAAAAGAAGCGGTTCCAGACGAAGACTCAGGAGACGGGCACTCCCGAAGGCTACAAGCTCCGTCGCAGTTGGGTGAGTCCTTCTGTTGCACTGCGTGTTTCCATTCTGATTGGGAATCTCAAACAGACAGTCAACAACGGTGTCCGCGACGAGCTAGAGTACTACACCTGTGAGCATGATCATCGAAGACCGATGATTCAGATACTCAAGTGGACGGTGGTCAGTTTTCGGCCAGTCGGACCATCCTGAGGCTTTGCAACCCTTCTTACCTGAGTATCATGAGTTTGCAAGACACAACCACTACAATGTGTTGTATCCCGTCCTCAGGTGCGTTTCCCGTGGCTATCGCGAATGCATCATATTCAGGCTAGATCATTCAGACTGCTTGCCACGGGCATGGAGCTACCAGAAGAAACATTTGTCGACATCCATGATTTCGACGAAACTGCCGTTAAATACGGTGAGCTCCTTTGACTCTCCCTCGTGTCGATGTTGAACACCGCCAATCCGCATTGGTCAGCTCGTTTCTTGAAATAGTACGTTGCTGAGTCTGATATGCGCTCGTGCTACCTCGGGTCAGCCATGCTGATGGGTTGGTAGCCATCCCCGCGCGGAAGAAGAGGAAGTAAAGGCGGACAACGTATGGCTCAAAGGTCACACAGGTTAGCTGATCTGACAACCTGTGTGTGGAGTGTCTATAGGAGAAGTAACGCGCACTTGCAGACATCGGTACGATTACGGTCCTCTGGAGCCAGCCTATATCTGCCCTCCAAATCATGTCGCCTGATGGCAAGTGGCGCTGGGTTCGACACATCGAAAATGCGTTGGTGCGTTTGAATGGTGATCCCCGTGAAGACGTGGCTGAGGCAAGACTTCTGGTTCCAGGTTGTCAACATCGGAGACGCCATGGAGATGCTCACAGGCGGTTTCTACAAGGCTACCATTCATCGCGTGGTTCAGCCGCCCAAAGACCAGCGCGGTTTCACCCGTCTTGGCGCGTTCTACTTCGCAATGTGCAACGACGATGTCAAGCTCGTCCCGTTCACTGACAGTCCAGCCCTACAAAGGGAGGGTGTGGTTCGCAAGGTTGAGGATATGGACGCTCCAACTATGCGTGACTGGCGCAAGGCGCGGTCTGCGGCGTACGGGGTGTCGGAGACAAAGCGCAAAGACGATGTCGTCGAGGAACAGATCATCAATGGCGTGGTCGTGAAGCACTATAACTAGGTCAAACAGCCCTCGCCCCATCTTTCACACGATACTATGTAAGAGTACCCACCTTGATTGCTTCTTTCAAATGTAACGCTCTCACTTCACATTGAACCCGTGCTTTCTTGGATGTTTCTTACTGCTTATGCTCTTGGCACCTAAACATTTTACGCATCGCGACTCTCTTCCGTGGCCGAATTCTCATCTCAAAGCGTATGTCTACCCCAACTTGACGGTATTGGTAGTAAGGAAGGCTCATATGTTCGAGGCTTCTCATTCCGTCCCGGAACGCCGATTCGCGGCTTCTAATCTTGGCAAAGCTCGCGGAAGCCAGTTTTCTCACCGAGTCAACATCTTGGCCTCCTTGTGTAACTGCAGAATTAACAGCACCACTGACTCATCCCCTTTTCACTAATGCTTATTAGAGTTGTATATGAACTCGCCTAACCGGCGTTTAAAAACACCATGTTTCTGCTATAGGGCTCCACCCGATGCATAGGGCTCTCAGGCCGTCAGTCGTCATTGAATGAGCGGTTTGCGGCGCGCAGTGAACATCCGCGTATTCCCAGACCACATCTATATTTGTCTTATCTCGGCTTCGGAGTTCTCAGACTCGCCATTCAACATGATCTTCTCCTTACCTGGATTCCCAACGCTCGCACGCTCATCTCCAAAGCACCTGATATCGCGGATGGACGATAACGAAGCAAGTCTTTCTTACCGGTGAGTTATCTATAAGACACCCCCAAGAGACCGACGCTCAATAAACATCCTCATAGCAGTTCCCTTCTCGGCCAGCATGCCTGCGACCACTTTCCCACCAGCTCCTCACCATCAGCCTCCTCCGCCTACTGAGGAAAATCGTAAGTCTTGTACGGTAAAGTTTTCCTGGGTTTCCCCGGCTCATATATTCATGTCGTAGTGAACTGGGCCGCATTGCCCATCGTCGACTTGGCCAAGACGGCCACATCTGAAGAGAGGGCAGCACTTGCAATCCAAGTTCGGGATGCTATGCGCACGTTCGGATTCATGTACATCATCAACCATGGCCTAACTCAACCTCAGGTAATTGCTCCTTAGCCACCACTAAGTCAAATAATTGATTCGCACCGTCATGTGGGGCAGAACGAGCGAATCTTTGATATCGCAGACGTGCCCTTTTCACAGATGGTCGAAGAAGAGAAAATTCTGTATTCGAGCAAGATCGAGGAGACCGGCTCCTACAAAGGCTTCAAGCCCCGTCGGTCATGGGAACGTAGATCGTTCGATATCACTGTTCTCACCCTGACACATACCACAGACAATCAACAATGGCGTCCGTGATGAGATCGAACAATATCAGTGTACGTTTGGAAACATCAATTCGTGTTTGTCACCAGACGAAAGACCACACTGCTCATGAGGGATCTAGTCTTCGAGCAGCAGAGCCATCCGAAAGTACTCGAACCATTCCTTCCAGAGCTCCGTGCCTTTGCGGAGCATAATCATTTCAAGGTACTGCATCCCATTCTGAGGTGAGTTCCCCATGGAACGTGTTACAGTTCACAGATGAATCTCTGAATAGACTACTCGCCATTGGCTTGGAGTTGCCCGAAGAAACGTTTGTGAAGATGCACGATATCTGTGCCACAGGTCCTGGGTTTGGTTCGTATTCGTTTTCTTCTATCTGGAGTGACAACTTACATTTCGCCTATTCGGATTTAGTACGTTTCATGAAATAGTGAGTGTCTGCGGCCGTCATTGGATCGGTCGTCCGGCTTATCATTCGTAGCTACCCTCGCTCCGAAGAAGACGAGGCCAAGTCCAAGAATGTATGGTTCAAGGGACATACTGGTACACAAAGTTCCTCCATGGAGCACTCTCGTCATTCAACCCCTCTCGATAGATATTGGCACCATCACGATCCTTTGGAGTCAGCCAATTTCGGGGCTCCAGATCATGACTCCCGATGGTCAATGGCGTTGGGTTCGTCATATAGACAATGCCCTAGTACGTACTGTGCCAGATCGATACGATATGTCTATTGTGTCAAGTCATTCATGCCATATAGGTCATCAACATTGGAGACGCGATGGAAATGCTGTCCGGGGGTTACTATAAGGCGACAATCCATCGCGTTGTTCAGCCGCCTCCTGACCAGCGGGGTTACGAACGCCTCGGAGCTTTCTACTTCGCCATGGCTAACGACGACGTGATGCTCGTCCCTTTGTCACAAAGTCCCGTTTTGCAGCGTGAAGGAATTACCAGGAAGATTCAGGATAAGGACGCACCGACGATGGTTCAATGGCGCAAGGGAGCCATCAAATCGTATGGCTACGTCGAACTTCAGCGTAAGGATGACGTTATCGAAGAGGAAGTTGTCGAGGGTATCACTGTGAAGCATTACAACTAGTCAAATCTGTGTAAATCATATGTCTTGCTCGTAGCTGTCAGACACGACTAACCGTGTCGACATCATAGTCGACTATCTGATACTAAGAGAACCTCGATGGCATTTCGGTCATACCGTTGTTGAAGCTTGTCAGCGGTTGCATCAGTGAATGGCAAATGTAAGTTACGCGATGAACTGAAATATACAAGCCTCGCAGCCAGCAAATCGGTAGTCATCTAAACGTTCACAATATCGCTTACCTGGTGGGAGAGCAAAGCTAGTCCTGGCCCTTTCCGTGACTTCCCGAATGCCGCATTCTATAAACCTTTCCGGTGTGAGACAATGCAACAATAGCTAAACTGGCTCGGAGCTCCGTTGTGGGGCGCCAGGGCCTAAGTACTTCAGCGCAGCAACCTTGGTGCGTCGCTATCGTTAGACGTATCACTGCATGCAAACCATCAGGCAGGGGAAAGCACCACAATGGTTTTCCTTCACGACGCCTTCATGGCCGCCGGCTTCGAGGCCCAACTGATCCCGATACCACCACCCACTCATGATCCTACGCTCTCGGTTCAGATCTACGCCCTCTCGTTCAAGTCACCCACTCGGAGCACAAAGGAGCCCTTACTTCTCGTTCATGGTCATCCTCAAAATTCCATCATCTATCGTCACTTGGGCCCTGCTTTGGCGAGATCATCTGGGAGGGACATCGTGATTGCAGATACCCGCGGTAGTGGACAAAGTACGGCGCCGAGGGTGCGAAACCTCTCTCAGGAAGGCGAGGGTGGCCAGCTGCCAAGCGAAGATGCCCTGCGACTCCGCTACTCGAAGCGAGAGGTAGGAAAAGACTTGGTACATGTCATGTACGTTCCCTCTGCCGATTCTGCGATACAATCTGGAAGCTGACGCATGCATAACGTGATGTTTCTTGTAGGAAGCACCTGGGATATGACAAATTCTCGGTCATCGGTCATGATAGGGGCGCGGTGAGTGATGCGTATTCGTCGAGCGATCATCAGGATGTGTTCACACCGACTCACCTCGCAGAGAATTGCGCATCGAATGGCAGACGACTGGCCAGATGCGGTGGTCAAAGTCATGCTGCTGGACATTGCGCCCACGTACGACCTAATCAGCAGGGCCGATGCCCAAGTAGCGCTCACGTTCTGGCACTGGTTCTTCCTTTCTCAGCCGTACCCTTTTCCAGAGTCGATGGGTGAGCCTGCTTTTCCGCATTTTCCGCCGGTGCGCTGACGCATGTGGTAGTCCTTGCGAACCCCTCCGCGTATCTGAACAGGCTCACCAGTCGCTTTGTTGCATTAGACAAGCGTGTCTTCCCGGACGATGTCGTCAAGACTTACCTCCAGCAACTCTCGTCTCCCGATCATGTTCACGCGATCTGCGAAGACTACCGCTCGTCAGGTCCAGGGGGCATCGATCTCGAGCACGACGCTGAGGACCGCACAGCCGGGCGCAAGGTTAAGCAGCCGGTAAGGGTTCTGTGGGGCAAGAGAGGGCCGAACGAGCGGCTGTTTGGACACGATGGCATGCTGGAGTTATGGCGGAATGTCTGCGAGGACGTGGATGGGAGAGCGGTCGACTGCGGCCATTACATTCCGGAAGAGAATCCTGAAGACGTAGAGCGGGAGGCGCTTGCTTTTTTCTGAACACAGCAGAGCCATTAGGAAGTGAAAACGATTCAAAGAATTACATTGAACACTAGAAGCAGAGAGGGTATCACAAATACCTGCGCTTGTGACTTTAACGTCCATTGGCAGATTTGTGGACGGTGTTGTAGGAGATGTTTTGCGTGGGCAGTTGCTCGATAATCGCACCTGTGTTCAACTTGAGCGCTAGCATAGATAGCTAAGAGTTTATCAGAGTTACGGCCTTTGCTTGTACGCGACGCCCGAGATAAGTAGTGTCAGAGAACAAGTCTTATAGTCTCAGGCTTGCCACGACTCGCCGCTGCCACACAACTTGAACCGCCTCAGTGCCGGTTCGACCTGTAGCCGGAGCGATGTGACGCCACCTTGAGGGATGGGCGCCTGTGTCAGACCATACCGCGTGACACGACCTCATCCCCGTTCTCCACATTCATCCTCGCCGCATGCCTATACATACATTTCAAACTTCTCGCACAATTACTCAGGACATGCTCATGATTAACCCTAGCGTTTACACAAGCTAGGCGATCAAAGATAGCGATGATTACAAAGCTGAGTCCAAGTCATTGTGTGGCTAGTAGGCTCTCATCGCCTTCAGCTTGTACTAGAGAAGTGCGAGACGGAGGACTCATCAACGCCAGAGATAGCTTATACTGACTCACCTGGGATTTTTTATGGAACCTCACACGAGAGCCGCAGGTGTCTTCTGCTCGTCATGTGAGGTGTTGCGTCATGTGTCGAACGTAACCGTTTCGACGCCGCACTCGGATTCCCCGTTTATACCCGTTGATGTGTTCTTGCTATTCGACTTTACAAATAGACATTTGTCATCATTTCACCCCGGGCGTTGCATCATTGTAGGGAGTATGCGCTAATTTCTCCTGTACACGACCCAAGGGTAGTCCAGCTTAGGACATAATCTTGCTCAGCTCATCAGCACATCGTATACTCTGTGCATCGTTCGCCCCCCTCCACAAAGTCAAAGAGCATCCATGGCCCCGTGATTTCATTACTGGGTCGTGGAAGAACAAGTCGTAGTATTGGTTGGAACAAGATCAATAGGAGCGCATTCTGCCGTATTCCACCAGGTACCTTATCCAACTGGGACTTCGCAGCCCTCTCGAAGTGCTCGTCATGTGGGATGGTGCAATTGGCCGGACTCCGATCTAGTTCGGGTGACAAAGCTGCCTGGCCACTTGACTTAAATACAGACGTTTCGTCGTGACGATCTCCTCCATCTCACAGACTACTACGAGCAGCACCTAGAGGTCATCAATATGACGTCGATCTCTATCAATGTTGCCTTCAAGGCTGCCGGCTTCGAGCCCTCCCTGATCACGATACCGCCACCGGCGCATGACCCCACGCTTCGGGTTACAATCTATGCTCTGCGTTTCAAGTCGCCGACGCAGACCCCGAAGGAACCTCTGCTCCTTCTCCATGGCTATCCCCAGAATTCCGTCATCTACCGCCATTTGGGACCCGCGCTGGCTAAGGCGGGTGAGAGGGACATCGTGATCGCGGATACACGGGGCAACGGGCAGAGCAGTGCACCCAAGGCACGGAACCTCTCTCCTGGCGAGGAGGGAGAGATAGTACATACCGAAGAGGTGCTGCGGCTGCGATACTCCAAGCGAGAGGTGGGGAGAGACTTAGTCTATGTCATGTGAGTTCCCGTAACGACATCACAAAGCCGCTCTGAGCTGACGAAGCGGTTCTCATACCTGTAGGAAACATTTAGGATATGACAAGTTCTCCATCATCGGGCATGATAGGGGTGCGGTAAGCGCGATCTTAATCTAGTGACATACTTCTGCGACTGACGTACGTTATCTTGGCGTCGATATCGTAGCGCGTCGCGCACCGGATGGCGGCTGACTGGCCGGACGAGGTGGTCAAGATCATGCTTCTGGACATTGCGCCGACCTACGACCTGATCGAGCGAACAGGGCCAGAGTTAGCGTTCGTGTACTGGCACTGGTTCTTCCTTCCTCAGCCGTACCCATTCCCGGAATCGATGAGTGAGGCTGGTCTGTTGTCTGTTCTGCCGCCTGGCTGACACATGTGGTAGTACTTGCCAACCCCTCGGTCTACCTTAACAAACTCCTGGGTGCATTCACCACTGCTCCCAAAAAGATATTCCCAGACGACGTCTTCGATACCTATCTCCAACAGCTGACTTCTCCTGAGCGCGTCCACGCGACCTGCGAGGATTACCGCTCCTCAGGCCCAGGCGGCATTGACCTCGAGCATGACGCCGAGGACCGCAAGGCGGGGCGCAAGGTGAAGCAGCCCGTGAGGGTGCTCTGGGCAAAGACGGGCATCATCGAGCGGCTGTTCGGGCATGACGGGACGCTGGCATTGTGGCGGAATATCTGCGAGTCGGATGATGTGGATGGGAGGGCGGTGGATTGTGGCCACTTCATTCCGGAAGAGAGACCCGGCGACGTCCTGCAGGATGCTCTAGCGTTCTTCTGATGTGTGAGGGGAAGGTCGAAGGCGCAAGGGGTGCTAGAATATCTACGAGTATCAGAACAAGACAGCAACAATGACAACATGCCTGCTTCGTATCTAGCCCTCGTCGAGCGGGTTCAGCAAGAGTCAGTTAACGGCGGACTTCCATCTTGTCTCAGGATACATTCGTCGACTCTCGTGGTCCAGTGCATAGGATTGTTCGAGACTGAGATGAAGATGATAGACGTAAATACAGAGTGCTCAGCCGCCTGTCCTGCCGTCCGCGAATTGTACGGGGGATACCGGCCCGACAGGCACAGCCGGACCGGCCTCGTCGTGGCATGGGCGTCTGCGTGGTCGGTTGCCGACTTTGGGAGCAGTCGAGGACTGTGCATCTGCCTCTGCCTCGTCGACCTCGCTTCATCCCAGTCTCAGATCTAAGTTTCGCCTTAGTCTGAGTGGCTGCCCAATAATAACTTAGCTTGACACACGCTTCTTGCCATACCGCAGCACAGGCTGTTCAGACAGCGAGGCAAGACACGATGAGCAACGACTACAAGGCATCGAAGGAGGCGTTCGTGTCTGGGATGACGGGTTCGACTATTGGGCATATCAACATGATCTCTCTGGCCTCCTTGGTGGGTCTCCATTGTAACGTCTACCTGGACTGACCTGGTTGACTGAGTTCAGCTGTCAATAGCTCTTCATTCGGCCGTCAGGACGCGTCTCCCTCCCAGTCGCTCATTCCAGTTCATGACAGAGGCTCTCCTTCTTGTTCTACCTATGCTCTTGTCTGTGACACTATTCGCAAACTCCCCGCTTGTGCTCTGCCTGCTCCTCGCAATACCCACCGGCTTGTTGCTTTTGCTTCCTCGTCGAGAGTCGGGGACGTTCCTCCCGTCGTCGCTGAGGCACAGCCGCCAATCCTCGCGCGCATCCAATACCTCTCAGCAAACTATTCCGTCAAGAGCCTTGTCAATACCAGTCCCTCCGCTTCCGGCGCTCACAACGTATCGGGCTCATATGCTCATTTTGACGATTATCTGCATCCTTGCCGTCGACTTCCCTGTATTTCCACGGTTCTTGGCGAAGTGTGAGACCTACGGCGTTTCTCTGGTGCGTGTGGCTCTCTTATTCCAAGCTCACAAGCCTGAATCTCGTGCAAGATGGATATAGGTGTAGGATCCTTCGTCTTCTCCCAAGGCATTGTATCTGCGATACCTCTAGTGAAGAACCCTGCGCACCTTACCGAGCCACTCCTCCCCAAAGTCACGACTGTCTTGCGGAAATGCTCAGCCGTCCTCCTCATTGGCTTGCTTAGGACCATTTCCGTCAAGGGGACCGAGTATCCAGTGAGTAACCAGCGGCGACATTACCGGAATCGTGATCCAATATGAGATAGGAACACGTAACGGAATACGGCGTGCACTGGAACTTTTTCATCACCCTCGGGCTGATCCCTATCATCCAAGTGCTGCTCCACCCAGTGATGGTGTACGTGCCGATCTCCCTGCTCGGCCTAGTGGTCGCTGTCTGTAAGCACCCTCTGTGCTTCTTGCTCGGACGGCTTACACTAAAAGCTGCTATGCAGCGCATCAACTTGCGCTGTCAACTGGAAGGCTCGCGCAATACGTGCTTGATGCACCGCGCATAGGCGTCGTCTCGGCGAACAAGGAGGGACTCATATCTCTTACAGGTGAATCTCCTGCGTTTACTCCAATCATATAGCCACAATCTCAGCCTCCTGTAGGCTACCTCGCCATCCATCTCTTGGGCCTTTCCACCGGCACACTCGTCCTCGCACCCTCGCCTTCCTACTTCCGCCGCCGGCAGCAGCAGCTCGCCGAGCATGCCCAGGGGGATGCCCGCCAACGCCCATCAACGAGCGACTCCGATACCGATGACGACGTCCCCGTGTCCGCCCAGGCCTCGCCCGTTTCCCCTATCTCCCCAACCTCTCCCGTCTCCCCAGGCTCCCCCCTCTCTCCCTCTCCAGCGAATATCCCTAGTCGCACACGCGTCAAAGTCCGGCGCGAGAACGATAAGACCGCGACGGAGCTCTGCTCCTACGCCGTCCTCTGGTGGGTCCTCCTGGGGGCGCTTAGGCTCTTCGACATCGGGGCGGGCGTATCGCGGCGGATGGCGAACCTGCAGTACGTCATCTGGATCGCAGCGTACAACTCGACGTTCATCCTCGGCTACCTCGTGCTCGACCTCGTGTTCTTCCCGAGTCCCCTGAGTCGGTCCGTGTACTCACCTACTTCCAAGCTGAAGATACACCCAGATGCCGGGGTGCTCAAAGCAACGGGGCATGAGGCTGGGGCGGGGAGAGGGCGAGAAGGCAGTGGAAGGGAGGGCACAGGAGCACAGCCGCTCTTGGAGGCGATCAACAAAAACGGGCTTATGCTGTTCTTGCTGGTACGTTCTGCTCTAGATCTCGAAGGCCAAGGAAAGCCGGTTACTCACGATGGCGCGCCCCTTGGGCTGACAGGCAAACGTGACGACCGGGCTGATCAACCTGTCGATGCAGACGATATACGCGTCGGACTGGGTCGCGATGGTCGTCCTCACGCTCTACAGTTTCGGGATCTCTGCTGTTGCGTGGACGTGCAGGCATCGGAAGATCTGGCGGTTTTAAAGGCGGCGACAGGTCCATTTATCGGGATCGGTTGGGGGATTAAACATGTTACGAGAAAGAGAGTTTCGTATAGAATGGCGACTGGGAGTGAGCGGCCGAGAGCGTTCGGAAGTGTCGTTTGACCTGCCTCAGCTGGAAACTCTGCGTGCCCTCCACCACTGCGCTTCTGCAGTAGGCTGACGGTGAACTTTGTACCGGTGCGCCCCCGTCGGAGTGGCTGATGACGCTGATGTGGATGTATCTTGATGCCATTCCGAAGTCAGTCACTTGCTTGGGAAAGTATCAAGAGGTCGCCGAAGTCTGGTTGGAAGTTGTGTTTAGAGGACACCGAAGGGCACACAGCTTGTATGGACGCTCGATGAGCTTGGGATGAGCATGTCACGTCATTGCCATATCAAAGCTCTGCAATGCGGTCGAAACCCTCCGAAGTAGTCGTAAGGAAGAGCGCAGCCGGCTGAAGGTAGAGCACTTCGAAGTGGTCAGGTACATGCATACTTCCTTCTATACCCGGGATCAGACGCGATGCTCTCTGGATCTGCACGAATGCAGACATACGATACAAACGGAACACGCTCTCATTACTGCAAAGCAGTCCTATCCAGATACTCCAGCTCCCTTTTAGTTCCTGTGTACCTCTCGTTGACCCTCATCCTGCACGTCTCGCGATCGCGATCATCACCCACTATCAAGAGGGGCTCCTTTATACCGGAGACTTTGTTACATTCACATCTTCGTCGGTATCCTCGTAATAGTTGACTTGGTCTACCCTACCCTCCTCTTCGCCATCACGAACACTTGTGCCGTTATCGCGGTCTAGCACCAATCGATCTTGTCTGAGCAGTCGCCGAGACAGCGAGGCGGCAAAAGTTGACTCTTCACCGCCGACTTCGACGAAGAGGGAGTAATGCGAAGGCATCACGAAAGCCAGGCCGAGCTTCACGGTGAGCGTATCTTCCAGGCCGTGACTTACGGCCACCTCGTGTGTACTAAGCGAGGGCGCCCATGGCGTGGCGTCAGCCCAAGTCACAGAGATAGGATCCGAGCCGAGGGAGTATATGTGCATCTGCACTTGTGCACTGATAGCCAAATCGTAGCCGTCATTCTTCAAGGTGTGCTGATACTCTATCGTCAAAGTGCGAGCATAGCTGGAGAGCACGAGCCAATGACTGTTTGTATGGTCCTGGTTTGGACCCCGGACCGTCGCCCTGTATCCTTGAACAAATAGAGAGCGACGAGTCTTTTTCGGCAACATGAGGCTGATGCAGTTGTGGGGCTGCCGGAGATCATGATGGCGGTCTACGGTAACGCGCCGAGGATGGGGTATGTATACCGTTTTCAGCTGTATCTGCTCTCGACAGCGCTCGATGGTGTCTAGCGACAAAGGGAAGAGGTCGGCTTGATCGTCACCGTGCTTTGGCTTTGGAGAGATGCCCACGCGCCCAGGATACAAGACATCGATACCGGATTCCGAAGGAGGAAGATAGCAGACGCGTCCTAGAACAGAGCCGGAGAAGTCATAATGCTCGCACCCAAGGATTGCCAAATACCACCGAGATGGTGGAAGCTCGGCTGGGTACTCGGTGGCATTCTGAGGCAAGTAAAGAGAGAGGGAATCACAGGCATTTGCGTGCGAATACCCTGTGGGGTCGGGGTGTATTCGGTGGGAAGAAAGGAGGAGAGCTGGAGGCGAGACAGGGCGGCATAAGAGATAGATCCTATGTGTAGCGCCCGCGTCGCGCGCTACTTCTCTTCTCCCCCTCCGTACCTGATCGACGTTGTGCTTCGGGATTGGCCCCTTCCTAATCCTAGCTTCTCCTATCTAACTCTTATCTGTACCGTGTGTTCCCGAACCTTAGAGCTGTTATAGCGCCCGTGAACCGTATATAAACCGAGATCTGTATGTACAAACTCCAGCGTTCAATCGAGACTCTCATAACCTGTCAGTACCTCGAGCGAACCTCTCCGTTTCCCTCTCGTGACGCGCCACCTACCCCTTCGGGCCAGCGAGCGCGTCATATTTTTGACAGCTAGTCTCTCGACAACAACCATCTCTCACTCTCGTCTCTATCTCTCTCTCTCTCGTCGACTGGGCCCCCTCCGAGTCTGATCAACTCGGGACTCCTTTCGACGACCTATATCGCACGCTTCTATTCTCTCTCTCTCCTTGTTAGCTAACCTACTATTAATAAAAACCCAGACATGTCTATTAGATACAACCTCAGACGTCGCCCGCCGGGCACGGAGGTTCTCTCGGCCGCTCAGCCTTCGGTACCAGGTGAGCCGCCCCTTGCAGCAGTCACGGCTGACATACCTGCCACAGGTAGCCCTCTTACTGGGACCGAGTCCCCTACCGGTGGTGTCAGCCCCGGAACCGAGCGTGGTGTTCCCGCCTCGGGTTCCCAGTCCTCCGCTATAGTAGCCGGGCTGGTGACTGCAGA